AATCTAAAACAATACAAATAATTTTGATATTGCGAGTTTCCACACAGGCTGTGATGCAAGCTCTTCAGTAAACAAAAGAAGGCAACATCTAGTCATCTAGCAGGAAAAGGCATACTATAGCCTCAAGTATAGAGTTGTCTTCATTTCTATATAATTCGCCAAAAACAATGGTGACATACAGCTATAAGAACCATCTAACACAAAAACAGAAAAAAAAACAAATTATATGCCAATTTAGTTGTGTAAGTGCACTAAGTCACGTGACCATATGGTCACAGGTCGCGGTTATATGAACACTGTTCAATCATGAGGTGGAGTATGCACAGTATATAGATTAGCAATTTCAACGGAGGGGCAGTTTACATACCGGCCACTCCAATTTGGTACTCCAAATGGCATGAGATATTTGTACAAAAGAAAGAAAGGCAACAACAGTATCAACGAAAAATTGTGACAAAACATGCTGTCTACGGATCTTATTCGTCAATAAAGGACATTTTATGCATAACGTTGTTTACAAGTTGGGAACATGAATCAAAATGTTTGTAAGCACTAGCACTCCATGCTAATCTTTAAAAACTTGTCACATTTTCGTATCTTACTATAATTTTCACGAAATTTTGATATTTTCATATTTCCGTATGTCTTGATAAACTTTATAAGTCATCTGCTTTTCGTAAGTGTGTCAAATATTTGTTTGGGCATCTTGCGATAATCTTCATAAAACTATCAATTTTTTTATCGTCTGATGATTGTCTTTATAAACTCATCACTTTTTCCTACCTTAAGATAACCTTCATGAAATTTTTATCTTTAAGTAAGCATAGGTAGCATCAAATTTAGCCTGGTGTAGCTTTGATGTGGCAGCATCACCTCATAGAGGCCATTCAGAATAGATGACTACTAGAATAGATGAACAGATGATCCGAGTACTAACTGATCCGCCGACTAAATATGGCCAACCCACTTCAAAATCTATGCCGCTGATTCCCGATGGTCTCCCATCTCCAAACGCGCCATTAGACGGATTAAATATTGGCTCGGAGGTTTAATTGCTAGGCCCCTGCAGCAACGGTGCCTGTGGGGGAGGGGAGAACATCATGGAATTAGCGGCATCGCTTTTGAAGTGGCGTCGGCGATATTTAGTCGGCGGATCAGTTGACATTTTCTATTCTGAATGGCCCCTACGACAATGCTAGTATTCGCATTATTTGAAGCCCCTCAAGGCAGGACGACCTCCTCTGCAGAGACGAAGAAACTTGTCTGCCAGCCAGTGACTGCATCCACCGGAGACCCCCCGCATGAAGAGGTATGTATGCTGAGTACCAGGTTCCCTGCGGGAAGACCCGTACAAATACCGCTCACTGGAATAATAAGAATTACGTCGTGTGTACATTCAAAATGACGATAGATGGCAGTTAAGTGTATGCTGGCATAATGCCAAAAGTAAGACAACTTCATTGAAAAAGATTCCAAATGTTATCGAAATCAATTTGATCACCACTAACCTTTAAACCACCAATTATAGAATAGATAATAATAACTATGACAATAATAACAGGAAACGATCGAGTTTAACCCCTACTGAGGTTACGTCATACCTGTTATGGGGAACAGATGCTGCGTTGTTGTTTGGTAAGAATTCGTGTTGCGAACGCCGTGCACCACGTGTGCCGACACTGGGCACAGCTGTCGGTCAAACCGGAACTCCCACTTCGTGCAGACAGCTCTGGCTCTAGAAAAGATAGGAATGTCACTTAGTTTTTGACTGCAGAGCAGGGACTAAAAGGAACGGCGTTACCAACTGTGATATTTTGTTACGTTTTTTGTGATAAATGCATGCATTAAAGGAAAAATCGAATTATGTAGTCAATGCAAAGCCACCCTGAGCTTCAGAGATAACTTGCCACTAACCTCTTCACTATAGCCTATCTTCATCGTGTCAAGTTACCTCTGACGAAAATAGTTTGACCTAGTTTATTTTAGCCAATCGAATCCATGTTTCAAAATTTTTCACCAAAGTTTGGTGAAAACGCTGATTGGTTGACCGTCAATCGGCAATCCTCGGCTGATTCCGCAAGCTCCATACTAACAACAAAGTTATTGTCGAGTGCGGAGACATCCGAGTAGTTCCGAGTGCATAACCGAACACAAAGAAAGCATGGCGTCTCCTACGAGTGACTACGTAAAATAATGTGTTAAGTTATCTCTTGATTCTTTGCAAAATATGAGTATATCGGAATTTAAACCAGAGCAGTTTGAGGCCCTGCATCATTATCTACTGAGGGATGATGTATTTTGCGTGCTGCCCACAGGTTACGGCAAGTCCCTGATATTCAGCCTTATCTTTGATTGGTCCGGATTTGAACAAAGCGCGCTTTGACTCGTTCGCGTTCATTGGCTAGATCGTTCAATGAGTCATTGAGTGCGGGCTTTAAATTTGATTGGCGGGCGGCGGGGGCTATCGAATGTGGTCAGAGGTAACTTGACACGATGAAGATAGGCTATAGTGAAGAGGTTAGTGGCAAGTTATCTCTGAAGCTCAGGGTGATGCAAAGCAGACACACCAGGGACCACTGTATAGTACTTAGTATATCTGAGATGTACTCGTACCCAAGTAAGATCAATAGTACTTCATTCAAATAGAAAAACCGCGCCTGTTCTATGTAAAAGGAAATATTAATACTAATGGACCACTCAATGATTGGGGACTACACTTGTGCACGTCGGATTTGTCCTAAATTGAAGAACGCAAAATTGTTTTGATAAAATGGTGTGCAAGGAATGCATTTTCAGCCAGTCTAAGCGACAGTTAACAATGAGTTTTAATGCACACAAACTCCACGGGGACTCTCGCTGAATGCAGTCAGATCAACAGTCCAACGCACATACACAGGTATGCCACCTCCTTGCGTCGTGTAGAATACAGACCAATGGTGATTTTAAAGTTTCAAACAAGAAGAGTACGTGCGCATTACCTAGGTCGATATTACTCATTGTGAGCGGTCCCTAAAAAGGTCATACTATACGTACTGACTGGTCATCACTGTAGCCGTCATACTGACCCTCAGGCCACTGGTGGAGGACATCTTGGGGTAGATCATGCTCTGAAGTTGATATAAATATGTTCTATTGCCCCGACATTGCATGCGCATTTGACGTATTTGACTGAGTGTTTTAATCCTATGTAAATTTGAATGGAAATGCATGAACAAAGACTGTATTAGCATCCCTAAGAGAGAGAGAGAGGGAGAGAGAGAAGGAGTAAGTGAGAGAAATTTGATTATAAATGATGAAATGACGTACCTCGATTTCTGACAGCCCCGTGAAGTCTAGGTTGTACCAGTTCCAGTGACGAAGATTGAACACCTGTTGAGCAACCTGAGGTTGATCTAAAGATAGAATAAAAACGTGCCTTTACACGTCCATTAATTTACGGTTTTGATATCCAACAGTACATGTATCATGGTGTTTTAGGGAAAAGTATTGGAATCACCAAAAAAACTACCCAAATACATATGTATTCAAAAAAAGGTACCTGCAAACTGTGGCTTCCCGAGCCTAACTTCCTCCACAACAATCCTGGAGACACCATTAACGCCAGGGTCCGGGTCCATTTGGCTGAGGTTGCCATATAGACAGTGTCCAGCATTCAAAGCAACTGCATAATCTCCTTGGCCTAGATTTTGGCAAATCCCTTCAACTTTAAAAGACAATGAACAGATCGATAATCATATGAGTTCTACTACGCTGGAAGGATTTTCACTAGTATTACTTGTTTCTGACTAAAATTTTGCAATTTTTCTTTCTTTTAATCTTTCTTACATAGTGTTTTTACATCCAGGTGTCCATCTTTTTCAATCAAACAAAATACCGGCATAATGACTACCTGCACCTATGATTATTGATTTACATACAAATAAAATGTTTAACGTAATGAAATATATAGACCGGAAAGATAAACACAAGATAAAGACTATTAAACGTCGCCTACTTGAATGAGTCGTCTGCGTTCGGATGATTGGATTTGTGAGCCATGCAATGGCTCCATCTATCGGAGTGGGAGCTTTACACTCTTCTCCATTAAAGGTAAAATAAAATCGCAGACATCCGGGTGCTGGACTTTGAGATATTGCACCTAAGGCCCCAAACCAACGTACTCGGAGAGATGTATCGGGAGCCAGTTTGGTGTAACTAAATACCTGGGAGATATATATATATGTTTGAATGTTAAAAATGATACATCTCTCTCTCTCTCTCTCTCTCTCAATAGACATGTATACGCATGTGTTGCAAATCAAGGTATAGTGAAACATAACCTAGCTACAGGGTACAAGGTAAAAATGTTAGGCCTACTTTTAAATATATACAGGTATGATATTCCCCACACTTTATAAGACGAAAGATTTGTAAGAAGAGAATGGGTATTTAAATCAAACATTTTAAGAAAACGTTTGATACGCTAATGGCAAATCAGGATCTCTATTTCCCTGATCAAAAAGGCTCACAGATAGAGGCTTTACATATTGTATAGTTCTATTCACATATACATGTACCAAAGTTTCACATACCGAAGCGCCGTATATCCCACTAGCTGTGTCCGCCGTGGAAAAGGTATGTTGTTTTACATTAAAGACAGTGTGGTGGGGACAGGGACCTAAAACAAACGATATTTGTGTGAAGAAAAGTATGGTCTTTAAGCACATTACCAACTTTTCCTCGAAAATTGTTTTTTTATTTTTTAAATTATTATGGTGTAGGCCTACTGTGCCATTTCATACCATGATTTAGTATATTATACCATATGCTATGCTATTTATGGCATTTAATGTCATGCTATATTATTGTCCTATAATGCTATGCTATACACTATACACATCATCCATACCTTGAATCAGAGTAGATTTGAGGTATGGTTTCCGTGTGATTAAGTATGCACTGCGTTTTCGCGCGGGCTACACGGTATGATATCCTATGCTAAATGCCATGCTATCCTTACTTTTCACATGACGTCATCATTTTATGCGAACATTGGGTGTCCGCCATTTTCCTACACCAGGCGGGAGATACTATCGTGCTGAGTTTTTTCACTTTTTATCACGTACACACAGCACAGTCATGCCGATATGTGGAGTGGTTGGATGTTCAAATAAACCGTCCTCACAGAAAGGTATCAGTTTTCATAAAGTACCAACAATCATTAGAGGTCAAGGCGAGGAGACGCAAAAGTTATCTGAAGAAAGACGGCGGTTATGGAAAGCAGCAATAAACAGGAAAGATATTACCTCGGAGGAAAAGTGGGATCGAACCCTTGTTTGTTCGAAACACTTTGTAGGCGGTATGTATATATGTTACTTGTTGGTATCATATAAATGTCAGAGAATAAGGTTTTTGTGAAGGACGGATCTTTGAGTCACAAATGGCAACTACACGTACCTGTTACTCGGTGGAGTCTTTGTCTGTCTTATATGCTCCCTGTATCCTGTGTATCTCAGACAATTTCGGACACAAAATTCTTTTTTGATGTACAATTTCAGCACATTTACATGTTTTTACAAATGCAATATAATTCTCATTCTCATGTTGGATTGTTTTTATCATTGCCATGTCTAAATTTTCTAGGTATCAAGGCCTACCTACATGACAGGACCAGTCCGTCCTGGCTTCCAACATTATGCCTAGGGCATTCAGCCTGCATTCCAGAATCAGCAGCCACCAGTAGATACAGGCGTGCCAGTCAGCGTGGGGAAAAGAGGAAACGTGCAGATGCAATAACTTCACTTTTGAACCTCAAAACGCCAAGGCTTGAATCAGACCTTCAAGTGAATGAACAAACTCAACTTCAAGACAGGAGTACAAGTGATGGCAATAGTTGTGAACAATCATCTCTTGACAGTGATTTAGACATAGAGCTAGAGATTCAAGACACAAACTATGAAGTACAGGAATCCAAAGATAGTACTACTGGTACAAGTAAAGAGGTACAAACTGAATTAACAGTTAATGATATTGAAAATATTGAAAATGACAATAAAGCTAGACTTGCAGATTCCAACTGCAAAGTGCCATTCACACGGCAAGATCTCTACAGTTTTGAAGGGTATGAAAAAGATCCAGACAAAGTTTCTTTTTATACTGGATTGCCTAATTTAGGGGGTTTGAAACGAGTGTTTAATTTCATAGAAGCACAAATGAGCAATGGCTCAAAAAACCTGACCAAAGAAAACCAATTCATGTTATGTCTTATAAAATTAAGAATGGATTATGCTTTTCAAGACATGTCAGTTCAGTTAAATGTGTCAGTTGCCACTATTCATAGAATATTTCATGCCACACTGAACATTCTTTACAAAAGACTGAGTTTCTTGGTCCACTGGCCAGAAAGGGAGCATGTCAGAGTATCAATGCCGATGACATTCAGAAAAGAATTTGGTGATAAGGTTGTTGTTATTCTTGATTGTTTCGAACTCAACATAGAAAAACCAAGTGGTTCTCTTAACAAGGTGTATACATACTCTAATTACAAGCATCGTCATACAGTTAAATATCTGATAGGGATAGCCCCACAAGGTACAATAACTTTTATTTCTGAAGGTTGGGGCGGTAGGACCTCAGATAAACACATCACAGAAGAGTCTGGACTTCTAGACAATCTGTTACCTGGTGATATTGTCATGGTAGATCGTGGTTTTTCCATTGAAGAATCTGTCAATTTTTACCAAGCGAAATTGGCAATACCTAGTTTTACACGAGGGAAGTCTCAATTACATCCAATGGAAGTAGAACAGACGAGAAAAATTGCAAATGTACGTATTCATGTAGAGCGGGTTATTGGACTACTTTGTAGGAAATTTAGGATTTTTGACAGTGTTGTACCCTTGGAGTTTCTGAAGTTGAAAAGTGGAGAAGAGGTACCTACAATTGACAAAATTGTTAAAGTATGTTGTTGTCTCACAAATTTATGTCCCTCTGTTGTTCCATTTGATTGAAGTGAAGGAATGTCTAAGTGTTTGGAAACAATTGAAGCATGTATGCATCTATAACAACAATTTTAGTGAAATAAAAATATGTATTGAAAACCATTTATTTTCTCATTTTTTTCTTTAGAAAAACTTTCCTTGATCCTAGTGGACCAAGATTATCAGAATTCCACACAGCTAACATATTTAGCACCGGGCCGTGGTGACTGCAAAAACTGAATGGCTGAACAACTGAATCCAAGAAAAAAAAGGTTCAATTAGAAGCACCATTGCACTGTAAAAGGTATATTAAGACTAGCACACAAGAACTGAATACTGGTATCACATCCAAAAAATGGGTAAATAGAAAAACACATCCGAACAATCTGTATAACTTTACAATAACTGACATCATATGTTAAAAAGATGTAAGGCATTGCACAATAAAATGTCAGAATGGACCAAGATTATCAGAATTCCACACAGCTAACATATTTAGCACCGAGCCGTGGTGACTTCAAAAACTGAATGGCTGAACATATGAATCCAAGAAAAAAAAAGTTCAATTAGAAGCATCATTGCACTGTAATATGTACATTAAGACTAGCACACAAGAACTGAATACTGGTATCACATCCATAAAATGGGTTAACAGAAAAACACATCCGAGCAATCTATATAACTTCACAATTACTGACAGCATATGTTAAAAAGATGTAAGGCATTGCACAATAAAATGTCAGAATGGACCAAGATTATCAGAATTCCACACAGCTAACATATTTAGCACCGAGCCGTGGTGACTTCAAAAACTGAATGGCTGAACATATGAATCCAAGAAAAAAAAAGTTCAATTAGAAGCATCACTGCACTGTAATATGTACATTAAGACTAGCACACAAGAACTGAATACTGGTATCATATCCATAAAATGGGTAAATAGAAAAACACATCCCGAGCAATCTATATAACTTCACAATAACTGACAGCATTTGTTAAAAAGATGTAAAGTATTGCACAATAACATGTCAGAATGGACCAAGATTATCAGAATTCCACACAGCTACACATTTCTACATTTATTGCAAAACCACCTTCCTTTTGGGACTCTCTTCATCTTTATACAACTCATATGGTACCACACTGTGCTGCAGTTCTCATTATCGCATGCTACCATCTTGCGACCATCGTCACTTCCATTACAAATACAGTACTTTGGCTCCTGAGAGTTTGAAGAGCAATTATTGGTCACAACCTCCTTCAACACACGCTTCATGGTAAAATACCCACACAACAATTCAGGCATGACAACCTGCTTATGAAATAATTTTGCTTTTACAGAAATAATATCCCATAAACTTTGATCTTTTACTATTCTTTCACAATGCGATGCATATGGGCACCACACAAAAAAATCGCAATAGTCCAAATTTGACATAAACAGTTGCATTTGAACTTGGTAGTAGTAAGCAGTGTTTTTCTTTAATTTCAGTCCTCCCTCTGTGTTTTCCAACCAGGTCATCTGAATACTGTCTGCTTCACGCAGGGTAAAAGGGCACTTGATCTCTAAAAGACCCTTCCCACAGCAGTTACACGATACAAACCCATCCGGACTGGCCCCAAACTCTGGGAAGTCTGGATTTAATAGAAGTCCAGATCTCTCAACTTGGAAGTCCACATGGAATGGTGCCATGTCCTTGCAGTACTCTTTTCTTGCCACCCTCTCTTTTTTGATGCCCCACTCTGTTGATGCACTGCTGAAGTATTGTGGATAACACACCGACTTTACAACTGACATAGATGGCTTATCTATGTCTGTGTGTACAGCAGAATACAATTGTGAAGCAGTAATACGCCCAAGTCTGTATTTCCTCCAGTGAGTCGATTTACACTGGTCCCTTGTGTGCAGTTCAACATGGGCAGCCTCTGCTTCTGTTACAGCTATACTGATCCCTGCAGTATGGGCTAGGATATCGTCTATGTTGGAATTGTGAAAGTTTGTGTCTTTTAAAGAAGACAAATCCACTGGCCACTGCCCAAGAAGAGCTTTTGGCTTGAAAGTGTGGGCAAATTCAGGGTTGATGGCCAATATACTTGCATTACTGACATCTGACTGATACCCTTGAATAAAGCTGTCCATTTCATTCTTTGTGGGCGAAGAGAAGTCATCCATTGATGTGGACTCTTTCCTCCTCAAATCCCCTGTTTTTCTTTTTTTGGTAGCTGACTGGAGGTCCATATCCACGATGCGGTGAAATGGGTCTTTCAGGTTGCTGGAAGACGGAGCCATCCAATAGGCAGGGACGTCTGTCACAGTGGTCTCTTTCCTTATTCTGGTCCATGTTTCTAGGGCAAATAGCATGGCAGCTATATGACTGCAGCTCTCCCCCAGACCAGCCATGCAAGTGCAATGTGCACACTCAATGGACCCCTCTCCTTTTATGATCACCCAGGGCTCTAAGGGCTTCTCCCTTATGCGCAAAGAATGATGCACCTAAAATGTGAAAAAGGGAAGAATAAGTCATCTTAACATAAACGCATGGATAGGTATTAAATCACATATGGGCTTCTTTTACACACGATGGTAACTTCCTGTTATTTTCCACATGAAGCTTTCGTTACTTTAAGTAAAATCTATGACATATCGCTGACAAACCATGAAAGCAATTAAGCAAAATGCTGTCTACAGCCTACATGCAGATATGGGGAAACTGCAGGATGGACAGGATCAGACCTGTTAAAAAGCCACAGGCAGGACCTATAAGATTTTGTTCTGCAGGTCCTCCAGACTGGCAAGGTTTATGGAAAAATACTATATAAACTTTTTTGGAGGTTCTATAGATTTTTAGGCAGACCTGTAGATTTTTTGGAGTGTAAGCCATACAGACCTGCAGTATTCTCGCCATGTCTGTACATGGAGTATTCCCCATTAATATATTTGGGTCAAAAGTATACAATACATGAAATAATGTCTATTCTTATGAATACATGTAGAAACAAAAATTTAAATCCGTGTTTATGCAAAATATCTTATGAGTATTCTTACCTTAGACTTTATTAAGTGAGAGCCATTTATTTCAATGTGCCTCATGTCCTTAATCCAACCGTCTTGGAAAAATTTGTAGGCCTCCAATGCCTTGTAATTCCGCAATTCTTCCTTAGTGTATGCAGATCTTTGAAATATCAGAAAGTGAATAACATCTACTAAATTCACCTCTTGCCACGAAGCTTTGTCTGTGCTGCAATCCTTGGATGACACCGTGTAGGGGTCTACTCCAATTTCCTTTGTCTTCTCATCATATCTTTCTCTCACATCTGCCGGTAAGGACTGTCTGTATAGATTGGTGTCCTTCTCCATAACAATAACAAGCAAAATAACAAATGAACAACCAACAAGTGAAAATTCAACAATAAAACGATGATTTGTACAGCAAAGCTCGGCGTGTCGTGCGTGTCGTCTCGATAGCATGGGTAGAAAAATGGCGGTTCACGGGGCATTGTGGGATAGCACACTCGGAGTTGTGACGTCAGTGAAAAGTAAGGATATGTTTCGTGTACAGGTATGATATTATAGTATACTTTGTTCTCATTCACAGAGTATAGATTGACAGATATCTTAACTTGCTTGTTTATGTATATAAGTTCATCAATTAGTTTTACATTACCCGTTGTAGATATTTGAATATTTAAATTTTTTTGTATTTTTTAACACTGTATATGTGTAAAAAGTTTTAATATGTAAGTTAAGTAAATGTATTCAGTCAACAATATGAACATCATATATCATATCTTACTTCAGTATATTTATATATTCCCTCAAAGATGTCAACAGCATAAATATATATGTATATGGAAAGATGTTACAATATGGAACATATTGAATGTATTTGATCTAATATGAACATACATGTACATTTATGTATATTAGTTCATTAATTAGTTTTACATTATTCATGGCTTTTATTAAATCACCATAAATATATACGGAAAGATGGTTCAATATCTAGCATATGTTAAGATATTATAAGGTCACTTACAGAGAACTTAGATTGAAAGATGTTTTAATTTAATAGCTATTGTACGGGTGTGTATACGAGTTCATTTATCAGTTTTAGGTTAATTATGTGGCTTTTGTAAAATTACCACAATATGGACCTTGCAAATAAACTAATTTCTAATTTAAGTTGTCTTACTTGTATCTTTAGAACATATAGGCCTTTATTTCGCCTTTCTTTTATGATACTTTATAAAAGCAAATTTATTTATTTAAAGAAAGGGAGGGTTCCAGATGTCAGACACTGAAAATTATAACACTTCAATACAACATAATAGTCAAAATTGCTGCCAAGATCACAGTGCTAAAACGTATTTTGATAAAAAAAGAATCCTCGGAGAGACCACTAGCCTCCAAAAACATAACATGTTCACCGTGATACAGTTGCTATAAAAGGTAATTCAAATGCAGTCTAAGAGAATATCTTATTCCAATAAACTCTATATCTGGGTACCAATGTGTCATTTGCCCAATATCTAAAGTAGCCTCAATTCCCAGATATCTTCAGAGAGAGAGAGTAGAGCGTTTGCCTCTGCTTTATAAACACGGAAACCTCTTATTTTAACTTCTTCAAATTTTAGTTTCCAGTAAACAACACAGATACGGGGAATTTATATAAAATAATAATAAAAAAACAAACATAATACTCGCATAAATAAAAAATACATATTTGATGATCTGTAGAAAATATAGAGCCTAAAAGTGCATTTATCAACCTGAAATGTATTAAGTTGAAGCTGTTTGTTATTTTTTGTGTAAACCTGCACATAAATACCCAGTACATCGACTGCGTATTGTTTTTGTCTCCCTACCGTGTGTTAATAGATATGTTTGAATTAGAATAATAAGATTGTCTTACTCAGTGGCAGATTTAGGGAGGGGGGTTCAGTGGGGTCCTGACCCCCCCCCCCCTCCTTGGGTTTCTGGGAAAATATCACACTAAATATTACCCTTTTAAAATTAGAATTTTAAGTTGCTGATTTATAGTTCTTAACTGTTCCAAAAGGCACAGTTTGGCATTCAAAACACCAAAATATTTTGGGGCCCTTCAGCGGTCCCCCAACCCCACCACAAGGAGGCTGAGGGTCGGCTTCGAATCCGAGGTCTGTCATTTGTAAAAGACACTGACACCCCCTTCAAATCCTGGATCTACCCCTGTCTAACCACCTGTATAATGCGTTCAGGAGACAAAATGGTATCTTCTTTGTAAGATTGTTTGGCAAATATGTTTTCTAAAAATCTGCATCGTTGCAATTGCTTTTACATGTTTGAACGTTTTGAAATTATTCTTTCTTTTTATAAGGGGTTGTTTAAACCAAAACCGCCCAAGTGTGGGTCACCTTTGATCCCATTGCGCTCCACTTCGTAATAAGTGAACCCAAACTTAAAGGGATAATAACTCTTCGTTTCGGCCAAAAAATTAATTTTCCTGGAGTAAACAACAATTTTCCCGTACTTACCAATGGTTAATGAATCCATTTAGACATTCAAAGTTAGTCCCTGTTTTTTTCTAAGAAAAGTTTTTTTTTTTTTTGTTAAAATCTCTTAAAAGAGATCTCTTAAAATCTCTTAAAAGATTTTAACAGAGTATAGCCATCAATGGAGGTCACGTGGTCTAAAGACAAACTCAGATATCAGAATAATTAATAGCTATAACTGCCATTTTTGTGGTAAAACAGAATATATTATATTTCTATGAGTTATTCACAATGTTTTTATTGTGAAATATAGATTTCATACGAAGAGTTAATTTCCCTTTAATATAAGCACAAAACGAAGGCACAGGAAAAAAATTAACTAGGACCGCTCCGTGTCGGCTTCTCAAACAAGGCCTCGTGCACATCATCATGTTCGGGGACTGGCGTTGCGTAAGATGACATATATCTGTACGGCACCCGGGCTATCTATTGTAACTGTAGATGTAAACATGTACAACCAAGCTGGCGTGACAAGGTAGAAAGCTTCCATTTGTTGTAAATGTTATCAACGAAGCTTCTGCGACTCCGTGGTAATTCCCTTGTCTTAAACACACGTATTCCCTTTGCACGTGGGTTCGAATGCTAGAGTTCTAAATGCAATATTTTTGCTTAATAAGATTTCTGAAAATTGCATTTTATTACTACAGACTTGACATTTAATATGGAATATTTCAGTTTCGAAGGTATGCCTAGGTAAAAATGAGTTCTTTTTTTCAAATAACTCCGATCTCACATACGATTTGTGAATGGAGAAGTGTGTAGTCAGGTGTGTCGCTACCAATTAATTGACTTTCATATCTGTTGCCCTGCTACATTATGTAATATGTAGTGATTTAATTGGGTAGTGTTCCTTTGGGCTGGTCAAAGCTTGGCTTAGGCAAAGCTTTGTTCTGTCAAAAAAGTATCCGTATGTCGGCAACTACTGCACAGAAGAATTTGAAATTTTGCATGCAAGCGGTCCGTTTTGCAGTGCGTAAGATGACTTAAGTAGTGCATTACAAATTTGTAAATCTATGGCAGAATGGCGCGAAAAAGACAGACATTACCAGACAAGTCATAGCGCCAAAGGGAACGGACCCCACAGTTTTATGAGGTAATGCCCAGACTGATGTACCTACACAGAGGTCACCCCCAATGTATCAAAATCTTACCTACAGGGTACAGGACCCACTGACTTTCGGGGTACGCTGCTGCAACTAAACAAAAAACATTTAGTCCGTTCAGAACGAGGGGTAAATTGGCACCAAAATGCGTTTTTCAAAGCCCTTAGCGAACACCAAACTGGTTTTAGCAGGTAAGAACACCAAACGACCTCCGAGGCACCCACTGTAAACAGCAAAACATCGTCGTCTGTTTCTCTAATGAATTGGGGGCCATGACCGTTTCCGGGTAGAACAATGAAACTGCGTGACTTTCTTTATTGAGGTCAGATTTCACCTGTACCGCCCAATTAGTCAAAACAGAGTTTACAGATATTCAGAAGAAGCCTACGACGAAGCATATGCCGGGACTAAAGTAACAAGGGTGATTGACAGCGTCAGTATTTGGAGTGGATACCACATTGTTGCCAAAACACCAATGGTAGTCATCGACGAAAACCTGAACCAGATAAAATTAAGGAATAATCTCGGAACCACTTGACTATCATTTGATAGGGGGCACCTTAGGAACAATTTTAGGTTGCACGGTGAGGTTGCCGGCTCACACAGAGCACTTTTAATAGCAGATAACTTACAGAACCAAGGGAATGAGCAGCTAACCTGGTCATCAAAATCGCCACATTTGAACCACATAGACACTATTTCGGTAGGCCATCACTCGCCGAATTAACTGCCTACATGTCCTACAACAAAACTTGACCAAATTGGACAATTTTAGCCCGATGCCTGGAATATTATTCCAGCTTGATCTCTAAAAACCTTCCCAAAGGAATGCCTTGCCGCTTGAGAGCGCTGGCAACAGCCAGAAGAGACCAGTCGTAACAGCGACCATTACTGTGACTAGCAACTGACATGAGGGTCTTTTGTGGAGCGTATTACTCTTTTAAAGACGATAATTTGGAAAATATGGAGATCCAAAATATATCTTTTAATGGAAGTCGTATGACATAGAATAGGCAGTGTGCAGGGTCGGATCCAGAGATATTTTCTGACAGTCTTCCATATTATGTTTGTTCACCCATCCTCATTTTTGACGGTCTTCCGACAGAAAAAAATTACATACCCGTCAATGTAAACTTGAAAATTTGACCGTCTTCCGGAAGACCCAGAAGACGGCCTAAATCCGCCCCTGGTGTGTTCTTGTTTGCTTCTCTGGCGAATTCCATCAATGAATTGATGTCACAATGACATCAAAGAGATAATTCAAAGTTATTAAAACACGATTTAATCCTTATTTTCATTTATCAGTCAGCAAAATAGGAAAAAACTGATAAAAAATTACTTGGAAAAAAATGTTCCATATTAAATGTCAAGTCTGTATAAGAAGTAAAACGTATATACGGTGGGCGGTGGGTCAGACACAGCGCTGTCGTTAACGTGCGCCGTTGCAATAAATAAATAAACAAATAAAAAATAAAAAAAATAAAAATAAAAATCCAAAACGGTCATCAACCGTGGTAACAGAAAGTCACGAGTTCGAGTCCCGGATAACGCATATCAGTCCGTCACAACAACGACCTGGCCCTGCAATCAGGAAGTCACGGGAACGAATGCGGGCTCTTGTCGGTCTGGGAAAAAAACAAAAAAAACTTTTCTATAAGCCATTATTCTTTCTTTTTATAAGGGGTTGTTTAAACCAAAACCGCCCAAGTGTGGGTCACCTTTGATCCCATTGCGCTCCACTTCGTAATAAGTGAACCCAAACTTAAAGGGATAATAACTCTTCGTTTCGGCCAAAAAATTAATTTTCCTGGAGTAAACAACAATTTTCCCGTACTTACCAATGGTTAATGAATCCATTTAGACATTCAAAGTTAGTCCCTGTTTTTTCTAAGAAAAGGTTTTTTTTTTGTT